GCCGCGAAGCCGGCTAGCCTATTCAGGATACTGAGTTTAGTGCAACACGACGCCATAAAAGGGTTAGGGAAGAGACTTTGAAGGGACTCGAATACTTTTGACCTCCCGCCGTACATATATACGTTCTCCACAAGGTCGCAGCTTGGGTCAAAATTACTGGGGTGGCGCTTCCGATAAACGTCGCCGCCGCAAGACAAGGTCTCTCTCAATCCCCGTATTTTGAACGTCCACCCTAGAGAGGAATTTGCAACCTCACTACCTTGGGTATATTACCTGCCTGTATTCCCCTCGGCGTTGGATAAACCACTAGCCAACAAATTCGTCCGAGACAATGTTGCCATTGGCCACCCGCACCAGTCATCGTTGTGGAGGCTGGAATCATGTCAGATCGGGCCGTGCGTTTGACTGACTTGTGATACTGTACGCAACCACCACGGTTGATGACTGGCTGGGAAAAGGAAACATAACAAGAGGCTTTGAGATGATGAGATGATGCTCTCTTGAAAAAGAGGAGGGATAAAAAATCCCATTTTACTCGAAGATGGAACCCCTTCTGTGATACAGTAGTGTCAGCCACCGTATTTCTAGCACAGTGCCGAAACATGGATTGTATCCTCGGCTTACCCCCGGAGTGGCGTCGCCAAGCGACCACTCACAGGCTTTGGCGGGCCGTCCCGCCTCCGCCTTCATGTCAACTCAACTGGTCTGGTCCGGTTGCAGTAACTAATTGATGAGCGCCGAAAATCCCTCCGCGGTCGGGCGTCCTGTCATGCGGTCAACGTCGAACCTCCCGTATGCTGTGAGCCTGTTGGCTGGTCCAAGTCCCGCGCAGTGGCCGGAAGTATGTAAGTACGTACGGACTCTGCCCGGACTGACAAGGATCAATGCGTCAGATTCGGGTTGGGGCGGCCATGTCCCCCTGTCTGCTCATCTAGATTGCACCCTAGGGTTGCAATGTATTATTAATGGAGCGTCAGCATCGTGTATAACGGGTGAGGGGGAAGAGCAACGGCATGAATCTAGCGCTTCGGCTACTTCCCTATCTTTTATCCCTGGCTCGGCGTTTAACACTTGGCACCTCTGGTGTTGTGTGCCCAACCTGTGCGATTTGTTCCTAATTGCGTAGTTTGGCCTATTAGTCTGCATATTGTCCCAAACCGAGGCCCCTTCGTCAGAAATGTCCCTGAAGCGACATAAGCGAATTGGTCCACTCTGTGTTCGCATCACATGTCCCGTCCAAGGCCGGCATCCGTCAGTCAAGGAAGCCGATGCTAGCAGAGCTGGAAACTCTGTCCCTCGCCGGGGGGCAAGGATAAATATAGTCGTCTCTCCATTGCTGTGTTTTGTGCTCCTACTGTTGCTAGGGCTAGAGGATACGTCCTCGGGGTAGGTTTACTTTGTGCGCATCAATTCCAGTCACGCAATGTCTGTCGGCGCTCCCAAGGAGGAGATGGCGCCTCCGCCCGACAAGTGCGGCTCCTCTGATGAAGGCGGCCCGGCTGAGTCCCCCGCGGCAGACCTCGACGCTCTGTACTCGATATACACGCCGCGACAGAAGCACTTTATTGTCTTCATGTCCGGGCTGGGCGGCTTCTTCTCGCCCCTGTCTGCAAATACGTACCTCCCCAGCATCCCGAGTTTGGCCAGCTCTCTCGACGTGTCGCCGTCGTTGATGAACCTGACGGTGACTGCCTTTCTGATTTTCCAAGGCCTCGCGCCGTCCTTTTACGGCGACCTCGCCGACATTGCAGGCCGCCGGCCGGCGTATCTGATTTCCTTCATCATCTATATCGCGGCAAATATCGGCTTGGCCACCCAGTCCTCGTACCCGGCCTTGTTCATCCTTAGGTGTCTCCAGGTGCGGCTGCCCTCGTGACCGCCTCATTCGTTCGGTGGCCATGTTCTGACACGATGACAGAGCTCGGGCTCCGGCGGCACATATGCGCTCAACAGCGGCGTCATCGCCGACATATCTACCACGGCCGAGCGCGGCAAGTACATGGGTGCTGCGCAAAGTGGAATCATGGTATGCGCACACGGACGCCTGCACCATGTATAGCTTCATCTGCTAACTGCACACTTGGGTAGCTCGGACCAGCAGTCGGTAAAGGCTCCCCTACGTAGCACACGAGTCCATCGGTCTTGTATTGACGCCATTACTGCGCCAAAGGGCCCATTCTAGGAGGCGTGCTTGCTCAATATCTCGGCTGGAGATCAATATTTTGGTACTGTAGTTTTCGCCAATGGCAAAATTCCACAGCCACTGACCAGTGCGCAGGTTCCTTACCATCGTACGTTGACGATGGGCGTCCCGGCTTCCGATGTTTCCACGACGCTAACAGTCACAGTGCGGCGGCGTGTATCTCGTCGTCTTTGCCGTTGCCGTTCCCGAAACCGCCAGAAAGGTAGTTGGCAACGGCTCCATCCCGCCCACCGCGTGGTGGAGTCGCTCGCTGCTCAACGAGTTTGCTCGTCGAAGGGCAGCTCGGGCTACTGGCGGAGCGGCGCCCTCGAAGCAGCAGCCAAGGCGTAGCCTCCGATTTCCAAATCCGCTCAAGGCGCTGCTGATTATTGGGGAGAAGGATTGCGCCGTCATTCTCCTCTACAACGCCATCATCTATGCGTCCTGGTACACAGTCACAGCCAACTTGTCCAACCTGTTGTCGGAGCTGTACCACATCAACACCCTGCAGATAGGACTGTGCTACATGTAGGGTTCCCTGTGCAAAGACGTGCCCCTGGATAAATCCCACGCGCTAATGTTCAAGTTGCAGCCCCTTTGGAGTCGGAGCGGCGCTCTCCATCGTTGCCAACGGACATATCCAGGACTGGAACTATGCGCGGGTCGCTCGCGCCAACGGGTTTCAGGTCGACAAGAAGCGCGGCGATGACTTGAGAAAGTTCCCCATCGAGAAGGCCCGGATCAACATTGTCTGGCCGCTCATCTACGTGGGCGCGGCAGCGACCATTGGCTTCGGCTGGGCCGCTGATAAGCAGGCGCACATGGCCGTTATGCTGGTCCTCACCTTCGTCATGGCCTTGTTCCTGACTGCCTGCTACAACAGCATGAACCTGCTCCTCGTTGACCTATACCCCAATTCGCCTTCGACGGCCTCGGCTGCCAACAACTTGACGAGATGCCTGATGGCGGCGGGGGGGTCCGCCGTGATAGAGCCCATGATCCGCGCCATGGGAACCGGATGGGCGTATACGCTTGTAGGACTAGTCATGATTGTGCTGAGCCCAATGCTTTTCGCCGTGACCAGATATGGACCGAAATGGAGGGAAGAACGGAGAGTCCGCTTCGCAGAAAAGGAAGCAGGGCGAGTGTAGAGCTGGCGAGACGTACACGTCCACAGGCATGACGCTAAAGGTAAAGGCTGTACAATTGAAGAGAAATATGAGAGCAAGCCCCAGGGCGAGCCCTCATACTATAGACGCCGAGAAGGCGCGGTTAGACTAGATCTAGAGAAAATGGCGAGTGAGCTTCACCACGATTCAAGCAATGCGATGCAAAACCTGCTTGCCCTCGAGCCAGCGCTCGACGTTCTCGGCCGTTTCAGCATACCACGCATTCATCAGACCCTCGTCGGCATATCCCATGTGCGGCGTGATGACGAGCCGTGAACGCCCGCCCGTCCCCCAGTAGTTGGCTCTCCTCCACGGGCTGTCCAAGGGCAGCGGCTCAACATCGTACACATCCAACGCGGCGCCGCGCAGCCCCCCGCGCTCCAAGGTGTCGAGAAGCGCGGCCGAGTCAATCAGCGGACCGCGAGACGTATTGACCAGCATGGCAGAGCTCTTCATCTGCTCGAGCTCCTCGGCCCCGACAATGCCCCGTGAGCGGCCGCTCAGAACGTAGTGCAGGCTGACGACATCTGCTCCGCGAAACAGGTCCTCCTTGCTTACCGCGAGAAAAGTCTTGCCGCCGTCGACCCCCCCGTCGGGCGAGAGGCCCATCTCGGTGGCCATGCGGTCGGCCTTTTCCTGCGTCAGGTTCTCGCTCCAGCACACCACGCGCATGCCCCAGGCGAGGTGTCCGATGCGCGCGACGGCAGCACCCAGTCGGCCGAGCCCGACGACCCCCAGAGTGAGGCCGGTGAGGCCCATGGCCAGCCCGCTCTGCCACTGGTGGCCGGCCTTTAACGCACAGTCGTCGGCGGCCACATTGCGCGCGAGAGCCATGATGAGCGCCCAGGTGTGCTGCGTCGTCGGATGGGCGCGGCCCTTCTTGATGTTGTGGCCCGCGGCGACTTGGTCCGTCCGGCCACGGCCTGGCGCCGCAACGACGGCAATTCCCAGCTCCCGTGCCGCGGCGAGATCAAACTCTTCAAACTGCGTGCCGGTGGCCAGCAGGAGCTTCAGGTTGGGCAGGCGGCGCAGCAGAGCACCCGGGAATGCGGTGCGCTCGCGGACCGTGGAAATGAGCTCAAAGGGCTTCAATCGATCCACCAGGCGGGCAGTTTCTGTCTCATTGGCGGGGAGGATGGTGTCGTTGAATGTCGTGACCTGGAGGCTAGAGGGCGGAATATGTGCGAAATGCGGGCCGGATGTGTTGAGGTAGTCGTCGATGATGGCCAGCGACGGGCGTCTCGTGGCCGTCCTTTGTCTTGCGACAGATGACAACAGTGAGGGTGACGGCCGGAGGAGCATGTTTCCAACTTGGGCTTTACCGTTGTATGCAGCGAAACGCAAAGGGTCCTGGTGTCAATACATTCAAAGTTGTTGTCGACTCCTGTGTGTATGCAAGGACGGAGTGCATGTGGTTTGGAAACGGACTCGACGAGCGACCATTGCATCTTACATATCTGGTATTCTTACCTCAGCAAGTAAATGTGCACGTTGCACAAGTTTCCCTAATGCCTTGAGAAGCAAAAGGTCACTGGTCCTCATATTCCGCCCCACCCGTCCCAAACTCCGACTATCCGATACGTTCTCTTCACAAACAAGCCAGCCGATTGATCCTAGTTTTGTCTATTTCCAGAGTAGTCGCCACAACGATGGGTGCAAGACGCATGCTTCATTCAATTCCATTGTTGTCGTCGCGACCAGTTCTTAATTTTTCAAATGCAATTTCGCGCTCAGTGTCAGCAGTCTCACGGCCATTCTCTAAAACCTCTGAGTCATCGCCGCCGCGCAAATTTCCGTCTACCGGATTCGAGTTGATCGATCCATCTGAAAAGGTTGAGGAGGAACGGCTTCCTTTCTATAAGAGAGATGAATACTATCCCATGAAAATTGGCCATGTGGTCTATGGTCACTACCAGATAGTCGCGAAGTTGGGTTACGGCGCAACCTCGACCGTGTGGCTCTCGCGCGATTTGAGGTGACATCTGCCTGCTGGACCCCCTTTTTTTCCCTCTCTCTCTCTTCTCCCCCCCCTCATTTAATCTGACGGCGAGCCCTGTTATCTGACTGGCTATTCTCTCCAAGCTAGAAACCAGAAATACTGGGTTCTGAAGGTTCATATCAATTCTTTAAAGTATAATCACGAATTGGCTGTCTATCGGCATTTGGCGCACCATACCGAAGACCACCCGGGCCGGAACCATGTTCGCGAATTTCACGACTCATTCACGCTCAAGGGCCCGAATGGTAATCATGAAGTCTTTGTCATGGAACCTCTGGGTATGAGCTTGAGAAGTCTACAGGGGATCCAAAGAGATGGTGCCTTCCCCGAGCAGCTTGTCATTGGTGCTCTCGCGCAAGTCTTTCTTGCGCTGGACTTTCTCCACGAAGCGGACGTCATTCATACCGGTACGCAGAGAGAAGCATCTCCAAATCGCGTCAATCACTATCCCGTCATACCACCTGAAGGTGCGCAGCTAATTGGCGAATTATTAGATGTTCACTCTGACAATCTACTCATTGGCATTGTGAACAAGTCAATTTTTTCCACGGTGGAAGAAAACGAGATCCATAAACCATCGCCCCGCAAGGTTGTCGGCGATACCGTCACTCAAGTCTCTCAATACATGTTGGGTGGCAAAGGGCCTCTCATTCTCTGTGATTTGGGACAAGCACGAATTGGCCGCGAGCATCATGGCAACGCTATGCCTGTACCTTATCGGGCCCCCGAAGTGATTCTCAATATGCCATGGGGAAATAGCGTAGATGCCTGGAGCGCGGGTCTTCTGGTATGGCTCAACATTCCTTCCGCTGCACGTACTCTATCTAATGGACTGCGTATCTCTTTACCAAGGCCTGGGATCTTCTCAGAGGAGAGAGCCTCTTCAATGTCTATGACCATGAATCTCGGGAGCTAAACGACGCTCATCATCTTGCAGCTATTACGGCACTCATTGGTCCACCACCCCCGGAATTACTACAAAGCAGCGAGGATTCACGCAAATACTGGCACGAAAACGGTAAGTGCTTGTCCATGATGGATTGCTCTAATATATCACTTTAAATATACTTGTTTCTATCAACGGTTACTAACACAGGCTCTCTTGTACCAGGTGAATGGAAGGGCCCTGTCCCTTTACCACCAAAGAAGGATTTTGAGTCTCTTATAAGTGACTTTATAGGAGTGGATAAGGAAAATTTCGTCAGCTTCATGGAGTGTTTTATTGCATGGCTTCCTAACGATCGACTTACATGCCTGCAAGGACATTTTCACCCTTGGCTCAAAACCGAAAAAAACCCGGCTGCGACATGAACATTGTAGCATGCCCCCTCTAACTCTTCCAAAGCACCTGCCTGGAGTTAAAAGAACTCCTCATGAGGCTATTGTGGATACATGGCCGAATGATGGTAAAATCATTACCCTTCACAGAAGAAGATAAAAGGACGATTCGGTATCCAGCTCTATCTTACAAAATATGACGGCTTCAGACCAGTTCTCTCAGCACTTATGCGGGAGAGGCTTGGTATTGCTGTAGAGAGTTGCGATTATCTCCAAGCACGATTTTTTTTTCAGCCCGCCTTTAACTTCGAGATCCCCGTCTAGAGCAGGTGAATCATCTTCATTTTTCATACAGCTTGACCTAATTGATCAGATTATATAAGACTTTAAGAAACATATATGACGGGGGGCTTTGGTAAGGTTGGCTAGCGGTAAGAAAGAGACCCGGGGTCTGTGGACTAAAGTTCTTCCGAGACGTCAACTCACAAACAGTCGCATCTGCTGCGGGCGCGTGACTACTTCAATAAATGTCATGCACCTTTGACCACATGTGCCAATTGGCATGCAGTGCTCATTTTTCCCCTGCTTGAAGCATGCACCACTTGAATATCCGAGCCTAGGAGTAATATCCTGCAGCGGATCGTAAACTAGATTGAGGGACTGGGCCCACCAACGACAGGGCTGGGGTCTTTGAACATGGCAGTAGTGGTAGCACTAGCCTAGCCAGGGTCAACGGCTGGATCCAAACCCTGGCGACTCGCGACTTCACAGCAAAATTATCCACCGTGTCTTCAACATCACGCAAAACCGTCCCTCATTCACCATTTGCGACCCGGCATTGGCGCCCGTCTCCGCCAACATGGCTTCATCGCCCAAGGGCAACTCCGGCCATAATGCCAACGATGCCTCGTCGCCCGCCGCTTCTCAACCCACCAAACCATCCATGGTCAAAGGCGCATCCCTCCTCATCCTTTTGCAGCTGATATCTCGCCTCATCACCTTTGTTGCCAACCAGCTCCTGCTGCGCTTCCTGACGCCGCGGCTCGTGGGCCTGTCTAGCCAACTTGAGGTGTATTACCTGTCGGTTTTATTTTTTGCAAGAGAGAGCCTGCGTGTCGCAATCCAACGCCAGGGCAGCACAACAGCGCCATCATCCAAGAGCGACAAGCAAGATGAGCAGCTGCTCGTGACACGTCGCGACAGTCAGGCGGTTGTCAACTTGGGCTACCTAGCCATTGTCCTCGGACTCTTCGTCAGCACCGGACTCGGATGGATGTACCTCGCCTACGCCAACGAATCAATCCTGCAGACGCCATACCTCGTCCACTCGCTTTACCTGTATGGTTTGGCCGCCATGGTAGAGCTGCTCTCCGAGCCTTGCTTCGTCCTCATGCAGAGGCGCTTGCAGTTTGGCACCCGCGCCACGGCCGAGTCGGCTGCTACTTTCCTACGATGTCTGGCTGTGTTTGCATCTACAGTCTTGGCGTCAAGGAAGCGGCTGGATATTGGCGTCCTGCCCTTTGCACTTGGCCAACTCACCTACGGCGTGTCATTGTTGCTGGTTTACTTTGTCTCTGGCTACGGCCTCGCAACCTCCATTGGCTTTTCGCTGCTGCCAAAAGCTATGGCGGCCGACAGCAGGGCCGGCGCAGACTACGTATGGTCCTATTTCTACCGACCGACCGTCACCCTTGCCAGCAGGATGATGATCCAAAGCGTCGTCAAGCATCTCCTCACACAGGGCGATACTTTTCTCATATCTATACTCTCCACGCCAGAAATGCAGGGTGTGTATGCCATGGCCAACAACTACGGCGGGTTATTAGCCCGAATGCTCTTTCAGCCCGTAGAGGAGAGTAGTCGGAGCTATTTCTCGCAACTGCTGGCCTCCACATCAACAACCGAGAAGGACGCAAAAGATGTTCAACCATCGGCAGCGGTGCAAGAAGCCAAGAAGAACCTTCAGACTCTTCTTAGACTGTACACCATTTTATCGGCAATTGCGGTAGGTCTTGGTCCTTTTGCCGCTCCGCCGCTGCTGTCCATTGTTGCAGGGAAAAGATGGACAGACGATGGCGCCGGGGATGTCTTGGGTGTCTACTGTTTCTACATTCCGTTTTTGGCTCTCAATGGCATCACCGAATCTTTTATTGCATCTGTTGCGTCTGAAGCAGAGGTCCAGCGGCAATCGATGTGGATGGGAGTATTTTCCGTGGCCTTTGCCGCTTCCGCCTTCGTCTTCATGCGCGTTTTCCCCCTCGGTGCGCAGGGCCTTGTACTCGCCAATATCATCAACATGTTGTGTCGCGTCATTTGGAGCTCTGCCTTTATTAAAGCCTATTTTCGCCGCAATCGGTCAGATATATCCATTAGAAGCATAGTACCAGGCGGTATAGTTGCCGTGTCACTCTCTACGCTGGTTTTCATGCATTGGCTCCATTCGCCAGATGAGCCGAAAACGAATCCAGTCAAAATACTTGCAAAAGTGGCGGGTTCAGCCGTGCCATTTCTACTTACAATGTGTGTACACGCACTCACAATTAACCCTCCTCGCTGTAGTTTGCCAAATTCTGACAGATATACAGAATACTCCTCGAACGACATTTTCTGTTGGAATGCTTTCACTCTATACGGGATCGGAAAGCCGCTAAATAGCAATAATGCCAGAGCAAGATACCTCACCAGGTTCGTGAGGCAAATACACATAATTCTCCTTGGTCTTCAATCAGCAACGCCAGAAGTAACCTACGTGACATGGCAGACGCACACCCACCCCAACCATCCGCGAAAATGAATTTGCCAGAAATAGACACAGCGCCGACAATCTCTCAATAATAGGGACGATTGGCCTCTTCGACTACTTCTGCGCTTTGACAAAAGCCCATACTAGGTATTGTATGACTAGTCAGCTGCACTGCGATTGTGGAGGACCCTCCGTGCCGTTAGCGCGGGTAGTGATTTTTCTTTATTGCGCAGTGAATGGGCTCTCAATATTGGCCACATTTCCTTCAATGCCGTCATCTTAAGGCTCCTAGCGCAACTTTTGTTGTGAATTTCTCACTGTCTCCGACGCCAAGCTTCTTCCAAGTGGACATACTTGCCCCTTCGCCAAGGCCACCTCGCTCTTCGACGTGTACACCACGTTGAGCTTTTCATCAATAAATAGCTGGTATTTTGAATTTCGTTGTTCCCTATACCATGTCTAACATGTAGTCCCTTGATCCTAGAGCTTACACAGGTTTCCTGTGAAGCGGTCAATAGCAATACATACCGGCGTTGGCGAGCTTCCTCGAGGCCGGCTAAGCTGTTTTTTTTTTTTTTTTTTTTAGATTATGACTACAAGGTCGCCTTGAACTAATTGGAGCCTTGGGAAGGGCCAATCAATTTTTTCTCACGGCTGAAGATAGTCATCGGCACATTCCATATTCATCGACTCGCTCGTCACACCGACATGCTAGGTAACAGAATGGTGAGTTACCGGCAAACTGTAACATTGGGTTGCGGACTGTGCTGAGCACGGGCTGTGCTGAGCATCCAGGCAGCAATTGCGCCCCAAATTCAGAATACGATTGACCCATCAATTTATCAGCCTTGAAACCGGTACATAAAGGCCATGGCTGAGCCACCCAGTTCTTGAGCCTACATGATGATTTCCCTCATTGAATCGGGAAATTTCTTAGTCAGTCACTCAGCCAGCCATGTCTACCTCAGCTGCCTCAACCGAAATCCTGTCCATCCTGAGACACGTTACAGCCAACAAACAGGACAAGGCTGCCGCACGACTGGCCACGATTGACCGCCATGTGCGCGATGCGGAGGCTGCTATCTCGTCACGGTCAGGCGTAACCGACAGCAGCAGTCTGGAGGCTGATGTGCGCATGCTACTGACTACGGTACGCAAAGCGTTTGCCGGCTCCCTGCATGTACAAGTCAACGGCCGGGGAGCAGTTGGCGGCACGAGCACAACGACATACCGGGGAACAAGAAGCGGTTGGGAGGAAAGAACGATGAGGTTGGAAGATCGACTGGATGCCATTGAGCGCATGTTATGGGAAGCCAAATATTCCTCGGGATTCTCCAACTCGGCGACGCTGGCGTGGCGCGACGAGTTGCTGAGCTATCTTTACCAAGGCCAGCGCCGCATGGTATACACAACGCTCTTCGGCCACTTGACCAACGAATGGGCCGAATTTCGGTTCGGCGAGTTGTCCAAGGCAAAGTTGACTCCGAATCAAAAAACATTGAAAGCCTCTGAAGATGATAAGGCTTCTCCCGTCATCGTTGGTCGCAAGGAAATGCATGAGCAGCGCGAAATCTGGGAGCGCCATGTCACAAACGAGCGCCGTACAGACACGAATAGGATTGTTGAGTTTCTGGACCAACTGTTTCACTCTGGCCCGCAACATGAGGACCCCTCCGGCGAAGAGCCAACGGATTTGCGCGCAGTCCTCCTACGCAAGATACGCAGCAGCATCTCGACAGCTTGCAAACGGGAGATATTAGTGACAAAGGAGGTGGTTACCGACGCTATCCGCGGCGTCCTCAGCTCCGACCAGCTGACAAGCGAGAAGCGCCGTGCTCTGCTAGACATCAGCAACAAGGACAACGTCCTATCTGAAATTGCCGATATCCTCAGCATCGATACACACCTGGACTCGATCCGCCGTTGGTCCTGGGGCGACAACCCCATCACGGTGCAGATGCGCAAGGCCATCAATGGCAAATATCGTGTATATCTAGATCTGGATCTTTTAGATGCTATCCTCATCCAATGCATCGGCCAATCCATCTCGGTAAATATCAGGGATGCCTTGGCCTCGGCGTGGCACCCTGATGTATGCCATGTGTGGCAGCAGGGACCAGACGAAGCCCGAACGGCAGCGATGCAGGCGCAGATAAAAGACTTTACACTCCGAAAGACCAGAGATTCTGTCCACGACTTGCGTCAAAGCATATATCAACGCATATTCTACACTGTCGGGTTGCCAGCGCATTCGGGGGATGCAGATGACGCCTACGACGACTCTGGCTCCGGTGGCGATGGACCGAAACTTACCGACTTGGAGAACGGATCCCCGAGCAAATTTTCGCTGAGGACGGACATTCTACGCATCTGCTCTGCCGAGATGGCCGTGCAAAAGCTCGTCCACGGCCAGTTTTGTATTCTGCAAAGCGATTTCGAGTGGTTCGGCCCATCCTTGCCGCACTCGACGCTCATCGCCATCATGAAGTACTTCCGCTTCCCCAGTGAGCTGGTGCATCTCGTCGAACAGTTTCTACGCATGCGCATGAAATTCGAAGAGGACGGCAAAGATGGTCCTGTGCTGACGCGCAAAACTGGTATCCCGGTGTCGTTCCAGCTTACCGAAGGCATATCAGAGCTGCTACTATTTACGCTAGACTTTGCCGTCAACCAGCGGACCGGCGGCTCATATCTGTACCGCAACCACGACGACCTTTGGTTCTGGGGCCAGCCAGAAAAGTGTTCAGTCGCCTGGCAAACGATTCGTGACTTTACAGACGTCATGGGCCTGCAGCTCAACAAGGAGAAAACGGCCTCTGCACACTCCGTGGACGAGGCAAACCCCCGATACTCCCCCGTCGACCAGGCCATTCTCAATCGTCTTCCCGCGGGTAAACTAAAATGGGGGTTCCTACTGTTTACCCCAGACGAGTGGAAATGGGTGCCCAATATGCCCGCGATCAAAGAGCACATGAATGAGCTACGGTTCCAGCTCAAGTCGCGCACCGCCGTCATGGCACACGTACAGGCTTACAACGCGTACATCCAAAACTTCCTCCCCAGCAGCTTTGGTCAAGTCGTCACCGGGCTGGGCGATTCGCACGCCATCACGGTCCTCCAGGCGCTGCAATACGCGCAGCAGTGCCTCTACGGCGGTGGTGACGCCTCGAGCGTGGAAAACGTCGCAGAATCAGCAAACGTGGCTCAGCACGTGCGAAAAATGATTCAGGCACGATTCGGTTCGCTCCGCAAGTATGATGTGCCCGACTGTTTCCTGTACATGGACGTCGACAGCGGAGGCTTAGGCCTGGCGAACCCGGTGCCTGAATTTGCGCAGTTTGTCCACCTCGCCAAGGATGACGAGTACACCGACGACGACGACGACATGGCGCCAATGGCCAAAGCAATGTACATTTTGAAGAAGGAGTTGTCAGATTCGTACCGCGCCGATGGCAAAGCGTTTGCGGAGAAAGTCCACGCCAAACGACAAAAGAATAGACTGGGTCAGCGCCGAAGAGCCGCCCACCTGTCCGCGTCTGAATCGAGCGTGGATACCGATGTGGCTGTAGACGAGGCTCAGACCGCTAAAAGCACGGAGACGGCGCAGTTCATGTCGTTTAGCGAGTACGTCGCGACCAGCGAGGAGCACAGCCGCGCGGTGCGCGACTTGTACACGACAATGTTTGACCCGCCTGTCTTGGAGGGAGATCGCGCGCGGGCTGATTCCGAGAGGTGGGCTTTGGCGGTTTTTCATACGGAGCTGGAGGGGCTTTTTGGGGGAGGTATTGCCGAGGACGAGTTCTTGTCGTTGGGGTTGTATCGCACGTTGGCGGAGGAGAAGGTGAGGTGGGACACTGAGCAGCCGTCGCTTTGAGGTGTTGCTTCGTGTTATGTAGTGTGGTGAATATACTTAGATAAAACTTGGTGCTTCGGCTTCCCAGCTTAGGGGCGATTGCGTTGCCGACTGCCAGTTGGTGTTTTTTAGGGTCTATACCGTGGGTGGATCTCAGATTCGATGATAAGTATTTGGGTAGTTGGGGTTTCTTGTGGACTTTCATCAGGAGAAAAATTTGTCTTGAAACAGGATGGTATACTGCTTTATATAGTTTAAGGAATCAGCTCAACAGGACCTTTGTTAGACTATATCGTAACCATGTGCTTGTGTTCATTGCATATGAATCCCATGATTCTTTTCTTGCTGCTTACCCTGAGCCCGACTAGGCATGACGGGACCTCCTGCAGTCGCCCAGTTAAGCAAGTATGGTATCGACCCAACGGTGGTGGTTCGGACGCCATTGACCTGATCGGCTGCGGCTGGGACACGTTTCGAGTAGCGTCCCACGGTTAAACGAGGGCAACGATGGCGAGACCTAGGGCACGAGGCTCTCACTGGCTTCGTTTATAGGTAGAGTTCCTTTGGTCATGTAGGTCTTGAAAAAACCAAGGATGTTTTATACCAAAGACTGTTGCTGGATGGATGAGTTGTTACTCCCGTCACGGAGCCCTCATCGCACAATCGGCCGATCAGATAGCATGGACATGAAGTCATTCTCGTTCAGGCCTGATTAGACATATGTAGCTCTCACTCAACTAAAGCCTTTTTACAGAGCCACGTGTTCTTTGCGGCAGGTTCTTTGCGGCAGGAAAAACCAGGTTACGTAGGAAATGGTCCGGTTGACGAAAGCTCCAACTCCAAGTAATTTCTACAGTCACACCGGACCCGCCCTAATCGGGAAGTAGCCACCTCAAGCTGCAGTTCGGGACGGCTGGCGTAAACGTATTTGGATCAATCCAGTTCCGCCAGACGTGAGCAAACGAGAACATGGTTGACTTTACCAAGCGCAAAACGTACCAATGTGACGGATGGCATCGAAACGAGGACACGTCAAGCTTGCCTCATCTGGCACG